CCTGATGTCAGTCTTCATAATCCCAAAAGGTATAATCCACTCCATTGATAAAATTCGTAAATGCTTTTTATGGGGTGGGAGGGGAGAGGAAAGGAAAATAAACTGGGTAAGCTGGGTAAGAGTGTGTAAAAAGAAAGAAGAAGGGGGCCTAGGAGTGAGGGACTTAAGGAAATTTAACATGGCGTTGATGGGAAAATGGTGGGGTAGGCTTGCAGAAAATAGGGATAGCTTGTGGAAGAAAATTATTGTTGAGAAGTATGGAAAGGGAGGGGGACACTGGCAAGATTGGATTACTGGAAATAATGGTGCAGGGTCAATATGGTGGAGGGATGTCTGCGGTTTAAACACTATGGATGGTGAGAGTGTAGGCTGGTTGAGGGAGGGTTTTAGAATTAACATAGGTGAGGGGAATAGCGGTAGTTTCTGGTGGGATGACTGGGGGGGAAAGGGGTGTCTTGCTAACAAGTTTCCAAGACTATATCTTCTTTCAACAGAAAAGACGCACATGTGCAACCAAATGGGAAGTGAAAGAGACGGATCATGGGAATGGAATCTAACATGGAGGAGAAAGTTGTTCGAGTGGGAAGCAGAAGAGACAATGGAACTGCAGAACATGATAAAAGATGTGAAGGTCTTGCAAGGACGCCCTGATAACTAGGAGTGGATTCATGACAAGAACGGTCAATACTCAACAAAATCAGCCTACGCATTGTTAACAAAAGAGGAGAAAGGATCAACCGGAACTACAATCTTTACAAGAATATGGAACTCCACCATTCCAAGCAAAATTTCAGCTTTCAATTAGCAACTACTAATGGATAGAATACCAACTAAAAAGAACCTATTGAGAAGAGGGATCACCAAAGACATGAGAGAAAGCAAGTGTGAAATATGTGCTGAAGAAGAAGAGGACACGACGCACTTGTTCTTAAGTTGCAAGATCGCTCGATGGCTATGGAAGGCTTGCGCAAAGTGGTGGGGGACTAAGTTCTCGTTGGAAGTAGACTGCTGGAATACCTTTCAAAAATCAGGAGTTGTGTCTAAAGAGCCAAGCAACAAAGAAGGGTGGGATTGCATATGGAATTCATTTGTTTGGTCTGTGTGGTTGGCTCGAAACCAAAAGATTTTCCAAGGCAAAGAGATCAATCCAAGGAAGCTTCTTGAACTCATCCAATTGAGATCCTATCTTTGGATTAAATATAAAAATGATAGAATGAAAAGCAGCCTCTTCTTAATATCAGATTGGCTCCAAGATCCGGTATCTTGCTTAAGAGATGCTACAGCAAGAAGAAGGCAAAACAGGGTGATAAATCCAGGGTAAAGACCTGAATTCATAGGAAGGATCCAATGGTGTCGACACCAAAAGGGAGGTTTAGGGATCTGGAATCCGACACGGACGTGGTGTCGACACATAATTTTGGTGTCGACACCACATGCGAGGGCTGAGCTTCCAAAACCCGACACGGACACAGTATCGACACTTATTTTTGGTGTCGACACCAAATGGAAGGGACTTTTGTCTTTGTAATATATTCCTTTCAAGTGGTGTTGTTTATGGGTTTAAGGTACCCTTTGAACACCGCCTTGAATCAAAAAAAAAAACTTTTTCCGGTAAAAAAAAAAAAACACTTAGGATCTAATTGACCAATCAAATAAGTTGAAATTCGTTACCTTACCTGTGTTCTTCGGCCATAAATAAGCCTTGGTTTGAATTAATTCAAAGGGCTTGTTTGATTGGAGAAAATTTCCCCCTTAAAATTTTTTATAAGGTTATTTATATGTTTTATGTATCAATATTATAGACAATAAAAGAAGGAAAAATGTGATATTTTTGCTTTTATTTTTCCCATCACAATTCTCAGTTCCGAAACTTTTCTTCTTATACATTTGAAGAGAAAGTATTTTTATTAATATAAAATTTACTTGATAATTTTCTTATTAACTTATTTTTTGTCAATTTTTTATCAAATATAAAAAATTTAATAACCTGATAAAATTCTGACAAAATTTCAATATAAAACTTATTAACCTTTTAGTATAGTACTTTTTTATTTTTATTATAAAATATTTTTTTAATAAAAACTTTTTTTTAACGAGACAAGACCAAAATGTTTTTTTTTTTTTTTTTTTCTTTAAATCCACTGCCCCTTTGTTGAACTCGATATCATTTCTAACTAGCCAAAAGGCCATAGCAAGGCGAACCAGACAACCTCCCAATCCATTTTCAAATTTGCAGATTAAATCATTCTCTTATGAGCATAATTACCGTTTAGTGAAGTTGATAGCCTAAAGGAGAAATCAAGGATGCAATTCCTAATCTATTTCGTCCTATCAGCCTTTCCTAATACTTTTATTTATTATTATAATAGTACAGCAACCAACAGCTCATATCTACCTAACAATTAAACAAACGTTGACACGTATACTTCAATTTTAATAGCTGCATTCAATACATATGCCCATGGAATATATCCCAAAGATATATAAGTTGTTGGGTACCATAAAAATTTCAGGATAAGGTATATAAAGATCTATGTATGTATGGTTTCATAAAAAAAAAAAAAAAAATCAATGGATATAAATTTCAGGATAATTAAGGTTTGCAATATATTCTGGTGCAGCAGGTAGCATGAAAATTTAGTACCAACCAGACATTCAAATGTTCCATACAAACATCATATTACCACTGTTTTTTTTTTTTTTTTTTTTAAGTTGACCATAAACCAATGACGGGTTGACCTCTAAGTTATTGGTCTTTTTTATCTTTTTTTTTTTTTTTATAGGACAAAGATAGGTGTTGTATTGATCCAAATCTGAATAATTACAATCCCAACCCAAGCGTTGTTGGGGCTGTACACTCAATAAAAGACCAAACATATATGTGAATTTTGTCAACTTTCATCTATTAAGAGGCCAGCCAAATGTGCTGTATAATCCTACTAATAACATTATGCCCAAAATTACTTTCGCCAATAGCAATTTTATTGTTACACTCCATCCAAATGAAATAAATCGTGGCAAAAAATACAATGCGTATCAGCTTGCTATGGGTATTCCTTCCTCTGCTCTCTCTCATGCACCAAGCAAAATCTAATGACCAATGCGCAGGATGTCTACAAATCTTCAACCAATTAAATACCTCTTGCCAAACCATCTTTGCATATGTACATGCAAAAAATAAATGTTTCCTTTCTTCAGCTACCACTTCACATAGAGTACAAAATCTGCCACATTCAATCCCCTCTTCCTTAATTAGATTATCTTTAATCTCCAAACTATCCAAAATAGTGAACCAAAGAATATAGCTATGGTGAGGTATAATACCTCTATCCCAGACTACTCTAAACTGAGGCACATGCCGCCTCTTTCTCCTCAAATTCTCATAAAACAACAGATTGAGATCGTCTTACTTTTGCTTGATATCCCAATAGGAAGGTCCTCATTTAGCAACAAAGAGTGGGTTTAAATTCTTAAACCAACATTAGGAAACTCAAAAATTTATTATTGTGAAACAAGGGTAATTGGTGTGAGGTAGGAGACTTCAATGCATTATTAAGGCCACAAGAGATGAAAGGTAGAACTAGAAATGCTAGGGAGCATGGGAATTCAATGAATTCGTGGCAAACTTAAGATTGATAGATTTACCGTTGATCAAAAGGAAATACACATGGTATGACCCAAATGGTCATAGATTAGTAGATTGGATCGATTTCTAGTCTCTAAAGAGTGGTCGTTGACTATTGGAAGGATTATAAACAATGGGAGTTGAAATGCACAATTTCAAACCATTGCCCTATGTTGTTAAAGAATTAGACAAGGAATTGGTGGCCAAAACCATTTAGAGTGTTTGATTCATGGATTGAACAACCAGGGTTTAAGAAAATTGTTGAGAAAATGTGGAATTCAATAAATACCAACGGGTGGATTAGCTTCAAGTTAAAGGAGAAGATAAAAAGCTTCTATATTAATGGGAAAATATGCAAAAAGGTTGATGAGATAGAGGAAGGTATTCCTTCTTTTTATGAAAATCTATTCAAAGATAATGGTTGGCAAAGAGAGACTAGAAAGAGTGGCATTCAAATAGTTATCAAGGCATAGAACAAGTTACTAATCACACCTTTTGAAGAAGTAGAAATTAAACAGACAGTTACGGTTGCGACAGTTCTAAAGATTCGAAGTCGAATGGCTTAAATTTCAGGTTTATTAAAGAGATGTGGGATACAATTAACATGGATTTATGCAATATTATTAAGAAATTTCAAGCCAATGGGAAGATAGTGAAGGGGTCCAATTCTTTTTTCATAGTATTGATCCCTAAGGTGGAGAATCCAAAATGTATAAAGGAGTTTAATCTTATCTTTCATTGGAGCATCTTACAAAATCTTACCATAACAATTGGCAAACTAATTGCAAAGAGTGTTGGATTTTGGTTATAAGGGAGCAACAAATGGCCTTTATTGGCAAAAAGCAATTAATTGAAAACGCGGTTACAGTAATGAACTAATAGATGAAGGAAGAAGTGTTTTTTTTTTCCTAAAAGTGAAATTTGAGAAAGCTTATAACAATGTGAGTTGGGCCTTTCTTGACTTCATAATGGAAAAAATGAGATTCTAAAATAGTTGGAAGATGTGGATATGAGAATGCTTAAGGAAATCAACCATTTAGGTTCTAATAATGGCAATCCATCTAAACAATTCAATGTGAGTAAAGGGTTTCGACAAGGTGATCCTTTCTCCTTTGTTATTCCTCATTGTAGCTAAAGGTTTGAATGGGATCATCCAATTTGCTTATGAGGGGTTTGTTCGAAGGGGTGGGAGTTGGATGGAGTAGTCTTAAGTTATCTCACTTACAATTTGTTGATGACACACTCCTATTTGGGAAAGCCATTAATGATAATATTTGGGCAGCAAAATGCATCATGAGGAGTTTTGAACTAGTGCCTGGACTAAAGATCAACTATTCAGAGTAGGCTATTGAGGGTAAATGTTGATGGGGAATGGCTTTCAGAAATGACTATCATGAGAAATGACTATTATGTTAAACTGTAAAATCAATGATTTACCCTTTAAATATCTAGAGGTCTTAATTGGAGGTATTCTAAGGAGTTTGTGATTTTGGGAGAATTGGTTGCCTCAACAAAGAAAAAATTAGCTGCTTGGAATGGTAAATATTATCCATGGATGGTCAGATTACTCTCATCAATTTTGTTTTGTCTAGCTTTCTTGTGCTTCTGATGTCCATCTATCTTTTCCCAATATGAGTTATTGACAATATAGAAAACATTTGCAAGGCCTTTCTATAAGGTGGATGTGAGGAAAAGAAAAGAGAGAATTGGGTAGAATAGGGTGAAATTTGCAAGAATAAAAAAGAGGTTAGTGGTGAAAAAGATGGGGAAGTTTAATTTATCTTTGCAAGGTAATCGATGGGTTAAGCTAGTCAACGGAGACAATAATTTATGAAAAAAGATTATTAAAGCTAAGCATGAAAAGTTAAAAAATAACTTGTTAAACTACATGAAAGCAAGTAGAAATGAAGGTTTGTTATGGTGGAAGGACATTTGTGGGCTAAACAATGGGGTTATTGGGAAAGAAGGTGGTTTAAAGATAATTTCAAAAGTGTGTCTAGTCGATGGTGAAGCACTAAACTTCTAAAATGATGATAGGGTACAAATGGTGTATTAGTTAATAAATATCCAAGGCTTTTTATGCTATCTATAGGAAAAGCAATACATTTAAACAAATGGGTCTGTGGCACAATGGAAGTTGGAGTTAGAAACTTTCTTGGAGAAAGAATTTATGAACATGGGAAGAAGAATGTGAATGGGAATTATGAGAACAATTGGCAGCCATACAACTTTGGCATAAATAGCAGGATAGGTGGAATGAAGGCAAGGAAATGATGGGACATACTCTACAAAGTCAGCTTATGATTTTTCATGGATACATCTCAAAATTAAAATGGTAAAGTATTCAAGAGTGTTTGGAATCTAATGATACCATCCAAGGGTAGTGCTTTTGCGTGTAACTTATTCAATATAGAATTCTAACAAAGTTCAATTATTTAAATGTGGTGGGTGACTATAACTCAATAAAGTGTGTGCTGTGTCATGATAGTATAGAGATTGCTAAGCATCAATTCATTCATTGTGAGTTTGCTTGGAAAATTTGGGATAAATGTATAGTTTGGTGGGGAATCATAAGAGTTAGAGTAAGTAGTTGTTGGAAGGAATTTAAACAAGAAGGTTTTATGGTTAGAGACAAGAATGTGGGATAGGGTTGGGAGATAAATTGGTTTTCTTATATATGGAATATCCAATTATAGAGAA